AAAACCCACACTGTTTCTGAATAAATCCATTATTGTTAAGTTCTGTTCCGTTTATGTCTCTTTCCTTGTAGGTGTGAAATGTGCCATGCTCCTGAATGCACCATAGCTATCTGACTCTCGTGAATGCATCAGACTGGTCTGTGAACGCTGTGCTGTGTAGATGTGCGTTTGATTTTCCGCTTAAGACAAAGCTTTGCCGTTTGAAACCTCACGTCGGCTAACACTGTTTATTGTTGTGTGTGAATAACAAGAGACTAAAACAAATAAATTAGCCGTACCTCGGACTAAATCTTTGGATTTAATGTTGTTCATAACACCTGTACTGGGGATGCATATCTCGGCAGGCATGAACTTTTCGGCATAACATTGGACCGAAGTGCGCTAATCTGTGACCTCTGAATTAAACTGAAGCCAAGAGTAACGAGTAATGTGTGTTTAAAAAATGTAAGGAATAGAAAGTACAAATAACTTGTGTGAAAATGTAATCAGTAGAAGTCAGAAGTAGAAGGAAAAATAAGTAATGGAGTAAAGTATAGATACCTAAAAAGTGTACTTAAGTACAGTCGTTACTTGACATCTCTGCTGTTTACCTCCTTACCAGTTGGTGGCGGTAATGTACCTGAAACGTTGTCCAAACCTTATATGTTACATATGTCATACATATGTCATCTTCTTCACCTTGTTCTCTTTAATATATAGTATGCAAACAACGTTTTTATACTATTTGATATCGGCTATTACTCTCATCCACCAGAGAGTGCAACTGCTTTATCAAGGGTTATAGATTCATCACTATAATTTTTCATCTGTGCATGTACATTTTTAATTTGTATTTATAGTTTTGCAGAGCTGGAACTTTGGCCCAATACCAAAACACCCTCTACTTACATCCACCAGCCATTACTCACTACCACTAGCTCTCATGTGCTACCAATACACCCTCAAATTGAAAAAATAATCATAATCTTCCTTAGGAATTGGGACAGCCCTTGCTGCATTGTTGATGTTCTGGTATGTAAAAGACTGGGTGTTTAGGTATGTATGCACATACATAATATACGTACAACCATATGAGAGGAGACAAAGCTTTTTTTTCTTTCTTCTTTTCAAAGACAACATTGAAATTGTAAAAAGGGGATTAAGTTAAGCTCTCGCCAATTGACAGCTGGGGATAGGCAAAAGCACCCCTAGTGACTCCAGCAGAGATAAGCGTGGTGAAAAAATGGATGGACTGTTTCTTTACCCTACTTCCAGTGCAGATACCAACCAACTGATGCTTTCTCTCCCCCTCTCCAGGATTGTTTGCTTGGTAGGTTTCACTGATATTCCGCTGTACTCCTTATATCTCCCATACTTAGCCTCTAGAGGCTAGTTCCAGCCAGTCATATCCTCTCTTAGCTCTGTCTCTCTGGCTGACCCCTCCAATGTACCCCTGTCCTACACACAGCTAGCCATAGACCCTCCACTTCAGCAATCTGTATGCCCGGCGGACTTATCCGATCTTCTGTCTATAGCTAGCCCCAGTAACCTCTTTCTGCGGTAGCCTTTCACACCAGCTCCAGAAGGGGGCACTGCTGGCAGCCTCTTTCTGTTTCTGGTGCTCTCTCTGCTGGTGTTTTCATACTGATTTCTTTCTGCTCTTGTTTGAGCTCCAAAACACAGTCTCAGCTAACCTTTGTTTTCTGGGAGTATCAGGTGAACAAAGAACGCCGACGCCCAGCCTTTATTTGGCTTTCAAAAAAATAACCCCCAAAAAACCGGAGTCGCTTCATAAATTCCCTGTCGATGTTTTCTATAAAACTGTCACTGGCCACTCAGCAGTAAGTCAGCCTCTGAAAATTCTCGTTGTTAGGGTTAGATTCATACGCTCTACCCCTTTTTATGTCCACTAGCCCTACATGCAGTGACTTGGGACACCACTACCCTCATGGGAGAACATAAAATTGAGGTAGGGATTAAAAGTAGGGCTAGTTGGTGTATTGGGATTGGGCCTTACTAACTTTTATTTGTAACTTCTAAACAGTTGACAGCATAGAACAATAACAAATGTTAAATTTAATTTATAGTTTATAGAGTTACATTTACAAATGTAAGATCAACACATATATTTTTATTTTTAGTTGTCTTACCCTACAAAAACAGGCTATAAGGTTTGAAATTTGCAACAAAGAATATGAACTTCTTTTTGGAGGTGACTATACCTCTTTTACAGACATTAGTTGATTTTAATTGGGGAGCCAGATGACATTTATTTGAAAATGGTGCTGATTGGGACACATAGTCAAAGCCTGAGATCAGAGGGACAAATCAGATTTTTTTGATTATTTTTTTAAATATAGACGTGTTTATTTTGGAATGTCCCAAAATTCCAGTTTTTATAGTTTATTTTTTAGTCTAATCTATTGACAGACAACTGTTAATTCCTAGGAAGCACCTACTATGAAGCTGCATTCAGAAGCCTGCACATCTCTGCCATTCAATTGGTCCTTCAACCTACCTGATGCTGCATCAGAAGACAATGGTGAGTCAAAATTCAAGTATTTATATCATTACAAAATTATATATGAAATGCAGGATTCTTGTCATGACAATGCACTTGAGAA